CAATAACAAGAAGAGTTCTTCACTATCATATGGTACATTCTCATCGCTGAAATTCCACTATGATGTAACAGTTATTTACTGCTGCAGTATGAACCCATCTTCCTAAGAAACAGTTGGAATTATGACTGTTTTAAATCGGGATTTCTACTGTTTAGAGAGGATTCGTCAATGGAATGATCACAAAGAATTTTACCCAAATTTTGTCGTTTTCGTTTGTCATGGATATGATGAGAGCTTCCCACCAGATCGTTGTCATGGTGTTGATGACCTCAAGTTGGTCTGTGTTCTTGTTATCCCAGTGTTCTTTATTGGTTCTCCTTATACTCTCAATGTTACTGTTGTTCATTTACGTTAATTGGTGTCCCGTAGCTGGATCACTATCGCACTCAGCTCACACACTGAGGTCCGGAATTCGAATCTCCTCCGGTACGGCTGGAAAACATTAGGGATGTGTTTCCATAAGACATGTGCTGTCCCTGTTCACCCATCAGTTTAAAATGGGTACCTGGGAGTTAGTCGACTGGTGTGGGTCGCATCCTGGGACAAAACTGACCTAATTTGCCCGAAATGCTCTGCATAACAAGGGGCTTTCTATATAGTAGTATGTCATTGATGTCAACTATGGTCTGTATACCTTGTACATGTACTTGTAGTAAATAAAGATATTATTATTATTATTATTATTATTATTATTATTATTATTATTATTATTATTATTATTATTATTATTAGTGCATGAAATACAACGCGTAGGTAGAAGATTGAGACACTTATGCAGCATATGGGAATCTTTATTCAGGAAACGTTTCGCCACACAGTGGCTTCATCAGTCCAATACAAAGAGGAAGGCGTAAGGAGAGGAGGAGTATGAGGTAATCAGTCCCTCAGCCTGGAGTCGATGTGTTCAGTCCATCAATCTTGTAGAATGTACAGCATAGGGCCGTAGACGTGGCTTATATACTGTAGTGAGGTGAGGTGAAGCAGGCGGAGGCGGGGTCATAGTGGTACCATCCACTAGTCGAAGTAGGTCTTCGTCCAAAGGTTGAACAAGTGTTGAAGAATTCTTTGTAACAAGATCCCATGATGCTGCAGTGTATTGGACTGATCAAGCCACTGTGTGGCGAAACGTTTCCTGAATAAAGATTCCCATATGCTGCATAAGTGTCTCAATCTTCAACTTGTCGGTTTTTCAAACCATTCATCACAACGCGTAGGTAACAAAAGTTTGACGTTATTAACAGAAAACGGGGACCCACCAACCACACAAGAAAATACAGTCAGATAATCACTGTTTAATGCTCGTGATTGTTATTTTATTCTTGGTAATTGCTAAACCAGAAGAGGTCATACAGTGTCTGGGGGTATGGAAGGCACTCAGGTTCGATCCAAGGAAGGGTAGGTCGGGTATAATTCCTTGAAGCAAGGGTTCCAGAAGTTAGCCTCCGTGAACAGTCACCCATTTGACTGTTTTAGCAACAGTGAAACACTGAGTGTTATTAAGAGACTCAGGTGTTTAGTTATGCACCATTGTGATCACAGGTTCATAACCTCACATCTTTTTTGTCCACACTGGCTTTTTGTTTTTTCATCAAAGGCGATACACTGATGCCGACGAGAGGCTCTTAATCCGAGGAGCTAGACTGTTCCTCTCTTGGATCGAATATGAATGTCTCCTAGTACTCAGGCGTAATATGACCCCTGCGGGTTTAGCGCTTTCCTCAATTAAAATTAATAAAAATCCATCTCGGCTGAAAAACGTCAGTACAGCCCATAATTTCCATTAGTATTTTTACCCTCTCCTCAGTTTACCTCATGTTGCACTTATCCACTTGCCACTCCACTTGCACAGTTTATCCGACTCTTCCTGTACGCCTTTTATAGTCCTTTTGATATTCCATTTTACTTAAGATTTCTGTATAATCTTCAGACACATTCATATACTTATTTATTCCTTTTGGTAAATCATTTATATAAATTAAAAACATCATCGGGGCAAGTACAAGTACTGATTCTTGTGGCACCCCGCCAGTGACACTGCCAAATCAGGGCAAGACGTA